AGTGGTAGCTTCTTGCATTTGTGTGTGCTCCGAGCTTCTCCCTCCTTGGCTCGTTTTGGGGGAGATGCATATGGAGGGGGATGAAGTCTATTTCGATAATGCAAAATAGTTTGATTGGAGAATTACTTTTGTATCCTGTTGGATTCTGAGTCCTTTGCTATACTGTTCGAGGCTTGTTGCATATGCGTGGCGTCGAGCGTTGGAAGGTGCATGTCGGGTGTTCACTTTGGACTGTGCTTGGAAACATCAAACTTGAGATGCAAGCTTTTGGAGTCTTGAGATACTGGTGTAAATGCGCCTTTGGTAGCAAACTCGTACGAACGGGACAATCTTCGGACTTCAAATCAAGAATGGTACAAGAAGTACCTGCGTACGGGGTACAGCGTCATAAATTTAATACCTCGGAGTCTTTTTGTTGTTTACTTTGCCTCATCTCAGATCCTTCCCCCAAGAGGCAACGACTCTACGACGTCCGGAGATGGCGCAGGCTGGGACTTACTTGCGTCAAAAGGCAACAATACTCTACAACACGACACTCAGCTCTGCCCCCAACTCACTACCCACACAAGCTTCTTATGCCATCCATCCCCTACCCAGTACAATGAAGATCGAAACCGCTACTGTAAGGTACACTAGTATTCTCTCAGGCAAAGGTACACAGTAAACGCGTTGCAAAGCTACCAAAGAGTCCAACCAATGGTGGAGCGAAATGATACTCCGTATTCACGAGATACTACTGTGCATTACGCCATGACAGCAGGGGGAGGGATATCGATGGCCGGGTCTTTCTCTGTTCCCCCGTCTGTCCTGAGACAAAAAAGATCCGGACATGCACGGGGGCTGCATCCCGATTCTGACGAGAAAGCGGGAGGTGCAGCATCGTGAGACATCCGCAAAGGAAGGGAGAGTGCTGAAAAGAGGGCGGCGGTCAGAAATCCGGTGCTGGGGGTCTCGATGGATGGCATTTTTCAAGAAAGCGTGAAGAGAAAAGAGAACAATGAAAGAAAAGAGTCGATTTACTTCTTAGATCCGCGATATTATTACTTTAAATTCTACAAAGGTGTAATACCATTACTCACATGCTCACAAAAGGCAATACACCCATGAAATCAAAAACAACTTCATGCAAGCAGCTTCCTTCGCTCCATCAGCCTCACAACACTAACAACGTCCACCTAAAAAAGATCCCCTTACATCAGTCCCATCAAAGCTCCATCAAGCGCCGCACCGCGTCATTCCCGCAGTGGCGCCTCAATTGCCGAAACAACAAGCCACTAAAAAAGGAAAACCGCACCAACAAAACCCTTAGACTACTATAGTAACAGCCTCTTCGAAAATAAGGAGGCGAAAATGAACCGCCTGAGAATGATGAAATCGACGTCATCAGCTTTTTGCACCTCCCCCGGACAAACAACTCGTCATAAGGGCTTACAGTAATACCTTAATCAAAAAGTCAGGCGATTTTCTCTAAGAGAGAGAGATCGTCGGAAGGGGGAGACTTATTGGGAACGGGGCGTTGCTAGGAAGAAATACACACTGTGTTTGCAAGTAACTGCATCGACGAACACACTTCGAAAACTCTTCTTCGCGAACAATGACGGTATATCGATCAGAAACTAGCAAAGATAGTGTCCATGAAGGTGCCTGACACAACACGATTATCAACACTCGTTCAAAGAGGAAGAAGAGCTAGGAGGTAAAGGGAAAAAATAAGAACCCCCCGGTCTGCTATCGGAGCCAGGTCCGAGCCCTCAACTTCACCTCAAACTTAGAAACACCCAACAACCTGTATTGATCACAGATTCGCCAAAACTGCCTTGGTCCCTCCAAGTCAAACTCTTTGCTCTTCAAGTAGACTTAAAGTAGTTAATCCAGTCATTGTAAGCCCTCGCTTCTCGGCGTCATCGTCTCGTCTTCCAATTCATCCATCAATCAGTCCCCATCATCCAGCCCTGCCAGTTAACCAGACCTCCAACACGTCAAAGCACTTTCCATACATCATCATAATCATCATCATAATCTCAAAAAGCTCAGACCACACAAAGCAACCCCCAACCCCATCGAACAAACAAAACCCCAAACTAAACCACAGAATCTCAAAGAAAACTGACAAGTCACCCTTTCCCCCCTCCCAACGCACAAACAATGCCGGCACTCGTATGTACCTACTGTAGTGGAACCTTCCCCCCCATCCCTGCCAACTCCATACAGAGAAACACATCACAAAACATCCCCCCTTCTTCGTACGTATGTACTCTGTATCATATTGGTTGGTATTATACATACTATCGTCAGGAAAAAGCACTCCGTATATCCGTCATATCGACGGGCTCTTGAATACCCAAGCGAGTTCCAAAACCACAGCCCCGGAAACTGCCCCCGTCCACGTTACCTTCGGTACTGTATCGAATCCTGATCCGCCCTACCGACAGCCTCACACCCTTGGCATCCTTCTTCCTCCTCGGTGGCAAGCATGACATCAGTCTCCCCATATTGTTTCCTCTCCTGTTTCCAGTGTATTACTCCGTATTGCTGTTTCTAATGTATTGCTGCGTATTGTACAGACGTCATGTCTCCCTGCCTTACTTGACTCAAGACGCCCACTGGTATAGTAGATGCGCACAGCATGCATTGTGAATAACTTCCGTGTTCTTGACTGTCGACACATGGTCGCGCAAAAGCCTAAACCCTAATCCTCTGTACAACTGTCCTGCATTTGTTTTGTTTTCGTTTTGGTTTCCCCCTTCCTTCCCTAACCAGCCATACCCGTCTACACGCTGCTCCATGCAAAAAATAAAAGAAACAAACACAACAGAAATTCCAGACCCATGAGCAGAAAGAAACTGCTCCTTGAACGCCTGACAGATATGCTCACTATGATCCCCCATCCAGAGGTGAGCGCCTGTAAATTGTAGCAACACGAACAGAAGAAACACACAAATAGGCCGAGTTGTAAGAAAAAGACAAGGAAAGAATTCGCAAACAAGACGCCCCATGCAATGACGATGCTGCCACGAGGGCTGATGGCGCTCATAAACGTTGCTCAAAATCCCAGGGGCTGAAGCGTAATATACAGTGAATGTCGCACCTGCACGAACTTCGTGATGCTCGTAACGATGAAAAGAAGAGAAATTGAGAAGAAAAGAAACAGACAGAATACCATGTGGTCGTGGCGGAAAGCGAAAAATGTTTCCAAAGTTTGGGTATCATGAGCCCCCTGCCCTCCTCTTCGAGGGGGCTCGGAGCGGCGCCGATAAAAGTCCAATGCTCCTTTTTTGTTTGTAAAGAAGACGAAAAAGAAACGTGATTGAAGCGCTGCCAACTCGGTGGCACGATGAATGAAACTGGCCCGCGTGTCGTAGGATAAGAGGTCGAGATCTAATTTGCCGGTATATGAGGGCGATGCTTGCATCGATGATACGTTTCAAGCAGTGATGAGTCCAAGCCGAACGGTGGGGTCTTCACCGTGACTCGACTGGAGCCGCCTGTATATGCTGTTCTGTTGTTGAGGACCCGAGGGGGGAAAAAGAGAAAGCTGTTCTCTTTTCCATCGACAAGTCTAGTTTACTTCTTGCCTCGGTTCCCCGTCGCTGTGATCTTGCTGGTGCTCATCAGATCACCAATATATTTCTGAAGGAACTTGTTGTTGTTGTCGAGCTTGTCGTGCTCCTCCCGCACGGCCTCGATGCGATTGAAGATAGTGAGGAGAGACTCCTGCAAGAGCTTGGCATG